AATTGACCATATAATTGTGTCTTTGTTTCTGAATTTTCTATTCCACTGATCTATATGTCTGTTTTTGTGTCAGTACCATACTGTTTTGATTACTAGAGCTTTGTAATGTAACATGGAGTCTGGGATTGGGATACCTCCAGTTTTATTCTTTTTTAAGATTGCTTTGGCTATTTGGGGTCTTTTGTGGTTCCATACAATTTTAGGACTGCTTGTTCTAGTTCTGTGAAAAATGCTATTGGTATTTTGGTAGGGACTGCATTAGATATGTAGATTGCTTTGGGTAGTATAGACATTTTAACAATATTTGTTCTCCCAATCCATGAGCATGGAAGGTCTTTCTTTTGGTGTAATGTTCAGCTTCTTTCATCAGTGTTTTATAGTTTCGAGTGTACAGATATTTCACCCCTTTGGACAGGATGTCCTGTTATTTCTGGTGCACTTATAAACGGGTTGTTTTCTTAATTTTTCTTTCTGATGCTTCATTTTTAGGGTATAGAAATGCAGATTTCTATACATTGATTTTGTATCCTGCAACTTTATTCATTTACCTGTTCTAGTAGTTTGTTGGTGGAATCTTTCAGGTTTTCTATGTAGAGTATCATGCCTTCTGCAAATAGTGAAAGTATTACTTCTTCCTTATCAATTTGGATGCCTTTTATTTCTTTTTCTTGTCTGACTGCTGTGACTAGGACTTCAAGTACTATGTTGCATAAAAGTGGTAAGAGAGGACATCCTTGTTCTTGTTCCTGATCTTACAGGAAAAGTTTTCAGGTTTTCACCACTGAAGATGATATTAAATGCGGGTTTTCACATAGGACCTTTATTATGTTGAGGTATGTATGAGGGCTTTTATCATAAATGGATGCTGTACTTTGTCAAATAATTTTTCAGCACCTATTGAAATGATAATATAGTTTTTATCCTTCATTTTATTAATGGGATGTATCACACTGATTGATTTGCAAATACTGAACTACCCTTGCAACCCAGGTATAAATCCCACTTGAGTGTAGTGAATGACTTTTTTAATATATTGTTGGATTCAGTTTGCTAGTATTTTGTTGAGGATCTCTGAATTTATGTTCATCAGAGATATTGTCCTGTAGTTCTCCTTTTTTGTGATATCTTTATCTGGTTTTGGTATCAGGGTGATATTGGCCTCAGAGAATGAATTTAGAAATTTCTTTCTTCTATTTTGTGGAATAGTTTGAGAAGAATAGGTATTAACTCTTCTTTAAATGTTTGGTACAATTCACCCATGCAGCCATCTGGTAATTGATCTCCTCAGATCTTCTACATCTTCTTGCTTCATTTTTGGTGGGATATATGTTACTAGGAATTTATCTATCTTGTCTAGGTTGTCTAATTGGTTGGCATATAGTTTTTCATAATATTCTCTTAAAATTGTTTGTATTTCGGTGGTGTTCGTTGCTATTTTTCCTCTTTCATTTGTGATTTTGTTTGTGCTCTCTCTCACACTCTCTCTCTCTGATGAGTTTGTCTAGAGGTTTATCAACTCTGTTGATCTTTTCAAGTATCAGCTACTGGTTTCATTGATCTGTTCTATTGAATTTTTAGTTTCTATATCATTTATTTCTGCTCTGGTCTTTATTTCTGCTCTAATTATTTCCCTCTTTCTGCTGGTTTGGGGTTGTGTTTGTTATTCTTTTTCCAGCTCCTTTAGGTATAAGGTTTATTTGAGATTTTTCTGGCTTCTTGAGGTAGGCCTGTATTGCTATAAACTTCCCTCTTAGAACAGCTTTTGCTGCATCCCAAAGGTTCTGGACCACTGTGTTTTCATTTTCATATTTCTGTGTATTTTTTTATTTCTTCTTTGATTTCTTGGTGACCCATTCATTTTTTAGTAGCATGTCATTTAACCTCCATGTATTTGTGGTCTTTCCAGATTTTTCCTTGTGGTTGATTTCTAGTGTCATAGCATTGTGGGCAGAAATGACTCATGGCATGACTTTGATCTTTTTGAATTTGTTGAGGCTTGTTTTGTGGCCTAATATATGATCTATTCTGGAGAATGTTTCACGTGCACTTGAAAAGAATGTGTAGTCTGCTGTTTTAGGATACAATATTCTGAATATATCTATTAAATCTATCTGGTTCAGTGTGTCATTAAAAGACACTGTTTTCTTATTGGCTTTATTTTTAAAAATATTTATTTTTGAGAGAGAGAGACAGAGACAGAGCACAAGTGAGGGAGGGGCAGAGAGAGAGGGAGACACAGAATCTGAAACAAGCTCCAGGCTCTGAGCTGTTAGCACAGAGCCTGATGCAGGGTTTGAAGTCAGGAGCTGTGAGATCATAACTTGAACAGAAATTGAATTCTTAACTGACTGAGGCACCCAGGCACCCCTCTTATTGATTTTCTGTTTGGGTGATTTGTCCATCAATGTTAAGTGGGGTGTTAAAGTCTCCTATTATTATTTTATTACTATCAATATCAATTAATTTCTTTATGTTTGCTATTAATTGTTTTATGTACTTGGATGCTTTCACATTGGGTGCATAAATATTTATAACTGTTACATCTTCTTGTTGGATTGTCCCCTTTATTATTAATATAGTGTCCTTCTTTGTCTCTTTTTACAGTCTTTGTTTTAGAGTCTATTTTGTTCAATATCAATATTGATACTCTGGCTTTCTTTTGACATCCATTTCCATGATAAATGCTTCTCCGTCCCCTCAATTTCAATCTACAGGTGTCTTTATTTCTAAAATAAGTATCTTATAGGCAGCTTGTAAATGAGATCTTGTTTTCTTTTTATCTGCTCTGCCTATGTCTATTTTTTAAAGGGCTAATAATTAAAATAAATTTAATTCTTTTTGGTAACATTTATTTTGTTTTGTTCTGTTTTTTAAATATAGTTTATTGTCAAGTTGGTTTCCATATAACACCCAGTGCTCATCCCAGCAAGTGCCCTCCTCCATGCCCATCACCCATTTTCCCCTCTCCCTCAGCCTGTATCAACCTTCAGTTTGTTCTCAGTATTGAAGAGTATCTTATGGTTTGTCTCCCTCCCTCTCCATAACTATTTATGCCTATGTCTTTTGATTGGAGTGTTTAGTCTAATTACATTCAAATTAATTGTTGATAGGTATGAATTTATTGCCATCTGTTACTTGGTTTGTGGTTGTTTTTGTAGTTTTTCTCTGATCCTTTCTTCTCTTGCTCTCTTTCATGGTTTGCTGGTTTTCTTTAGTGACATACTGGGATTCCTTTCTGTTTATTCTTTGCATATCTACTAGTGGTTTTTGATTTATGGTTACCATTAGGTTCATATATAACATCTTCGATTTTTGCAACCATTTTAAAGTAGACACATTATAAAGCATAATTATTATTGAAAAGTTCATTAATAAACTTGTATCCCACTAACATCTATTTAATTCACCTGTTTGTATAATTATGCTTGAGTTGCTCATGAAAATTTCATTAAACAAACATTAAACAAAGCTGGCCATCATCTTAAGTTATTTTTCTTGTTAGAAAATCAGGCAACTTTCAAACAAATCACGGAGCAAAGAATCTAAAAGTTAAACATTTGGTTCTTCCCTCTTTTTTTTCTTTTTTTTTTTTACTGGCATGTTGACATGCTTCAAGCAAATTATTTTTATTGTACATTCTATTCTTAGGTTAAATTTATAGTTTTATAATTTTAAACATATAGTAGAGATAATATAAGCTTGTCTGACTGGTAAATCTAGGTAGGAAAAATTTTATATCCACATTATAATTAATTCTCAGAATTCTGAGGACACACCTATTTTACTTTACCAAGAGTTTTTTAAAGTAGCTTTATTTACCAAAGAATATGCTTAATCATGTGACTCTAACACACACACACATACACACACACACATACACACACACACAGGTTAGTTTTATTTCTGAGAGTTTTAAGACAATTTAATTTATTTAAGTACACAGTTGCCTTTAAACCAATTTGAGTAGAATTCATTTGGGGGAGTTTATAAATTAATTTGGTAATACCATCTGGAGATAGAACAATATCATTTGTATATAACATACAGACATACATACACATATATCTAAACAGATGTTTTTTAGTTTTCATTCCAAATTTTAGTCATAAGTTAATAAAACATAGTAATACAAACTCACTGGTTTATCTCCACTTTATATTTTTGTCTGTATTGTGTTTCCAGAAAATGGGACAAGTTACAGTTACCTGTATGCCAATATTTGTGGAGAAGACTTAACATTTTATTTTGCCCTGATATGTAAACTAAATTTTAGGCCAGTGTAGTCACAACTAGCAGCTGTCTGGACATCTCCAGTGTATATCTGAGTGGACAAAACACTCTGGTTCCAGCTTTTTTCTCTCTCTCTTTTCAGTCTTAGGTGGTTGCTTTTAGAGGTGTCAGAGTCCACTGAGAGCCCCCAAGGCAGGGTAGGGGGCCTAAAATCCAAGTGGCTGTAGGGAGCTGAGAGGATAAGGTGAGAAGGGAAAAGTCTGGCAAGGTTGGGCAGAGGAGTAGAGGAAGTAAGGGCTTGAAGGGGAACATATAAAAGGTATCGAGGCATGGGAGGGAACACTGGAGGTGGTGAGAGGAGGAAGAAGGAAAGACACAATGAAGAAGGAGAGGCCTTAGAGGAGCCGGTCTAGGGAGATCTCCGGTTTTCCAAAGAGGCCAGTGGAGTTCTAAATTATCCTCAGCAAAATCATGCCAACAAGAAAAGAAGCAGATCAGTTGGCAGAGCCTATAATTAACAGAGGTACAAGAAGGGGTCTCAGTCAACTGAGAAGTTCCCATGGAAGAAGCGGAATCCAATAAGGAGAACAGAGAGCCAAGAAGAAAGACTTCCAGCCCAGAAGGGTAGAAAATAATCCCCTCTCAGGAAAGAGAAACAGAATGAAGAGACTTCCAGCCCAGCAGATAGCTTTCAAGGAAGACTGGGACTCCAACTCATCTTCTTACAAACAGAGAAATGTAGGACTATACCCCAGCATCTGTTTGTCTGGGACTCTAAGTCTGCTTCTGGAGTATACTCAGAATCTTCAGAGTCAAAATCTGTCCTTACCAGCTTTAACAATGTCTGTCTGTAGCACCGGTTCCAGAGTCAGACTCTCCACAGGATCCCCAACCTATCAAGGAAGACAAAGACTTAAAGTTGCATTCTTAGGGTCCTAGATGAGAGGTCCAGGGGCCCAGATGGTGAATCTGATCCTATCTGAGTCACAGCACCATAAGTGTTAAAGAAAAAAATATTCAGTGAGACATGTTAAAGAAGGTAAGGCAGACTTTATTCAGGACCATCACAACAGATACAGGGAACACTGCACTGGTATTCTGCAGCAGGGAAGAGACACTGGGCTCAACTCCAAATAGAGCATGGGCAAGTGGGCATTTAAAGCCAAGGAGCAGAATAGGGGGTAGTGGATGAAAACTTACTAAGGTATAAGAGGAGTTCTGGCTAAACCCACCTAATGGGATTCTTGCTGACAACAGGCAGGATGATCAGACATCACCTGGGAGATAAAGAACCTGATCAGATAGCAAAGGTGATCAAATATCAAGGGTGAGTGGCTCTAGTTACAATGACTTATCAAGGTTCTTGCTAAATCTAGATTTTACAAGGACACACAAATGATGGGCCTAGGGGAAGGTCCAGGGGCCTGATTAAAGTTTGCTCAATCAAGTATCTTTGTTAGTGGGTTTATTTTAAAGAGGAAAAGACTAACAAAACTTGGAGATGGCATCCCAGATATAAAACTTAAGATTTTTCTAAATTTAACTCAAGGCCATCCCTGCTAAATTCATTAAAAGTCTGGCCCCTGAAAATCATGCAACCTTCTGCCTCCAGAGTTTAACGAGGCACCAGGATAGTCTCAGCCTTTGAGAGAAGTTCCTGAAAGGAAACGATCCAATGGGAAGAGGGAAGCATCACATTATAAGAAAGTCAATAACTCATCATAATTTTCCTAACCCTAATCCCTCACCCAAAATCACATTTAGCAATTCAGGTACCTTTAAGTTGCATAACTGACAAACTATACTGGTTTGGGCATTCTTTTCCTAGAATCTCATGACAGAGGTTTCAGCCCTATGGCACGTGATCAGTCAAAGTAAATTACACTGGGTTTTCAGTCAGTGAGTTTGGGTTCAAACCCTGACTCTTCAAACTTGGCTATTATCATCTTAACTGCCCTGAACACTGTTTCCTCAACTGTAAGCCTGGATTCATTATTTTATATAACCCACAAAGCCACTTTGAAGGTGGAATAAAAATAATGCACCAAAGTGCTTAGCAAATTGCCTGTCACAGAGTCAGCACTGAGTAAATGGAAGATGTGAGAAGAAGGGGTAGGTGAGGGGAACTGGGAAAGTCAAGAAAGAATGTACAGTTCCTAAGAGATACCAGTGCCATGGGTTCCAAGGGACGAGTTATCTAGGCAAAGTAGCACACTCACCAAGTCTCAAAAGAAATTAAGGAGCCTGGGGCACCTGGCTGGCTCAGTTGGTTAAGGGCTTAACCAACTTCGGCTTCATCCAACTTCGGCTCGGGTCAGGATCTCACAAACTGTGAGATCAAGCCCCAAGTTGGGCTCTGCACTAATAGCACAGAGACTTCTTGGGATTCTCTCTAATGTTCTCTCTCTCTCCCTCTCTGCTCCTCACCCTCTCTCTCTCTCTCTCTCTCTCTCTCTCTCAAAATAAATCAATTAAGGAAAACAAAAAAAGAGGGCACCTGGGTGGCTCAGTCAGTTAAGTATCCAACTTCGGCTCGGGTCAGGATCTCACAGTTTGTGAATTTGCTCCCGCACTGGGCTCTCTGCTGTCAGCACAGAGCCTGTTTTGGATCCTCTGCCCCCATCTCTATCTGCCTGTCCCCTGCTCTCTCTCTCTCTCTCTCTCTCTTTCTCTCTCAAAATAAATAAACATTAAAAAGAAGAAGCAGAAGCAGCAGCAGCAGCAGCAGCAGCAGCAGCAGCCTGAGAGAAACTGGCCTGGGATTTATAGAGTGGAAAGTGGCCCTATCCCCCTTGAGTTTCTCTCCAGACATGTGAGGCAGGTTCACCAAGAGGCAAGCAACCACAGTGAGGGCCCCGCAGGCACTGCAGCGTGGGTGCTGCCTGAAGAGGCCTAGGGTGCTGAAGCAGAATTTGAGATTAAGACTTTTGACCAGTGTAGGACATCTGCTTGGGAAACTTCCAGGCAGAGTGAAGCTTAGGAAACTGGCAGGAGGTTAAGTGGGAGTAAATCAGAGAGCGGAACATACAGACCAAAGGATACTTCACTGCCTTCCTGCCAGTTGTGAGCTACAGCCTGTGCGACTGGCCTTGTTACTGGTGGGGTTAGTTCTCACCAGAGAGTTCCCTGGCCTTGTTGAGCTTGGCCTCGGGTATGCAACATTCTCAGGCTTGGCATGGTTTTCTCCAGTAAGATTTTTCTCCTTTGGAAAAAAATAAAAAATATATCAATACAGTAAAAAAAGCAAAAAAATAAAAAAAATAAAGAGGAAACTATATAGTAAGAATGCCAAAGAATGTCTGAGAATATGAATTGCAGGGGAGAGAATTCCTGAATGTATCTTTTCCCAACGTTATTCTTTTTAAGGAGAAAGAGATTTCCTTTTTGAGCCCCTGTATCTGCAATTCTTTAAAAACACTTTCTTAATGAAATTCTTGCTTGTGTTTCCTTTTTTAATACATAGACATTTGAATACTGTTTTTGTGTGTTGCTTTCTCCCATGCGGCCGGAGGAAGAATTTCAATAGCCGATGCAGATAGTAACAGCAAGAAGTTATGCCCTTAGACATTTTGGAGGCTGAGGTATGAGGACTGGAGATCATAAATATGATGCAGAAATTGGTCCATATGTTCTATCTTACAGCTTACGTAGTTGTAGCAATGCGTCTACCCAGGGCCCTTCTTTCCTGCCTCCACAGGGTGACTGAGAAGCAGAGAACAGAGAATATCTGTAACACACTCTATACATCTCCACAGAGAGCAATGCTGGCCTCACACAGCCCAAAGGATCACTGAGGAAACATGGCCAGATCTCCCACTCAGTGTTACAGGAAACACCCAGGAAATGGAGCTGCCTGTAAGGCTGCCAAGAAAGCAAATCATGCACATGAGGTGTCAGGACCACTTAATGCACAGCAGAGTTTCAGACCATCTCATCCACAGAATAAAATACATGAGCTAATAATAGTATAGGAAAATGTCTGTTTCAGTGGAAAACTATGCATGCCCTTCCACAGCCTAATCTTTCAGGTTAGAAGATTCTAGCTCTGTTCACTGTATCTGAGTTATTTTGCAGAGCTTTGTAAGTATAGATAATGGATAAATATATAATTTCTATCCTGTCCAGTAGTGATTTAACTGACCAGTCCACTATCACTCCAACTGTCCTTAAAACTGGACAGAAAAGGGGCCCCTGGGTGGCTCAGTTGGTTAAGCGTCCGACTTCAGCTCAGGTCATGATCTCGCGGTTCATGGGTTTGGCCCCGCATTGGGCTCTGTGCTGACAGCTAGCTCAGAGCCTAGAACCTGTTTCAGATTCTGTATCTCCCTCTCTCTGACTCTCCCCTTCTCATGCTGTCTCTCTCTCTCTCTCAGAAATAAATTTAAAAAAAAAACATGAAAAAAACTGGACAGAACAGTTCTGTCTCCATTTGCAATTCATCTCAACATTCCTTTACTTCTATCAATGTGTGCCATTTTGACCTTTCTTTTGAAACAGTTGTTATAGGTTGAATAATGTTCCCCCCTTCAAAACAATGTTAAAGTCCTAACCCCTAGTATGTGCAAATGTGACTTTATTTGAAAATAAAGTCTTTACAGAGCACCTTGGTAGCTCAGTCATGTTAAGTGTTTGACTCTTGATCTCAGCTCAGGTCTTGACCTCAAGGTCATGAGTTCAAGCCCCGCATTGGGTATAAAGCCTACTGAAAAACAGAAAGAAGGGGAAAAAAAGGAAGGAAGGAAGGAAGGAAGGAAGGAAGGAAGGAAGGAAGGAAGGAAGGAAGGAAGAAAGAAAGAAAGAAAGAAAGAAAGAAAGAAAGAAAGAAAGAAAGAAAGAAAGAAAGAAAGAAAGAAAGAGGGAGGGAGGGAGGGAGGGAGGGAGGGAGGGAGGAAGGAAGGAAGGAAGGAAGGAAGGAAGGAAGGAAGGAAGGAAGGAAGGAGGGAAGAAGGAAAATAGGGTCTTTGCATATGATTGAGCTAAGATGAGGTTATTAAAGTGGGCCTTAAACCAATATAACCGTGTCCCCTTATAAAAAGAGGAAATTTTGTCTGAGCACTCAGGCACCCCTTTAAACATGGAAAAAAAAAGGGGGGGGGAATTTGGACAAAGACACAGACAGCCACATAAAATCGATGCCATATGAAAAGGAGGGCAGATACAAGGATGATGCATCTAAGGAATGCCAAAGTAAGGAATGCCATAGATTCCAGCAAACCATCACAAGATGGGAGAAACGTATAGAACAGATTCTCCTTCCCAACCCTCAGAAGGAACCAATCCTCAACAACCATGACTTCAAATTTCCAGCCTCCAGAACTGTGAGAGAATAAATCTGTTGTTTAAGCCACCCAGTTTGTGCTACTTGACTATGGCAACCCTAGCAAACTAATATTATAACACAATATCTGCCTAATTCTATTGTATCATACAAGTAAAATAAATTCTTGAAAACATGTTCACTTGATTATCTGTATGAGAGTTGTGAGTTTACCCTTTTCTGAAAATGACCTTTTAGTAAGATAAATGGATATCTAGCTGTCTCTCTCCATTTCTGAAGACTTCTCAGCCAGAACTACCTCTGAATACTCCCTTTTTCATCAAGTTGTTAGGTTTGCATAAAGGCATCACAATGTATCTTTTATTTTTTTAATGTTTATTTATTTTTGAGAGAGACACAGAGCATGAACAGGGAAGAGGCAGAGAGAGAGACATTGAATCCAAAGCAAGCTCCAGGCTCTGAGCTGTCAGCATACAGCCTGATATGGGGCTCGAACTCACAAAGTGCAAGATCATGACCTGAGCCAAAGTTGGATGCTTAACCAACTGAGCCACCCAGGCGGCCCCACAATGTATCTTTTAAAAATGACCCATAATTGGAAACTTAACTAATCAAAATGGGCTGCCTCCCCTCATTCAGATGAATTTGGAGAAGGGAATGAAGTTCTATCAGTTGTCAGGCTCTGTGCTGGGAACTTGGCATTCTGTAGGATATTTTTTAAATGCCTACCCAGTGATCCTACCTTCTCCAATATTGGACCAATAGGGTTCACCTTTTCCCTCAAGCCTCAGGGAAGGGGATCCTATCCCAAGTTTCCCCAGGAATAAAACCTGATTGGTCTAAGGTTCTTATGGTAGTTCCAGTTCCCTTGCCAGTGATTGATGAGACATGCTTGAGAGGCAGGGACAGAAGATATTTTAAAAGGAAAGATTGCAGGCTCATAAAAGTGGCTGTGTGGGGGAAAAGCACACTTTTTTTTTTTTTAATCTACATGTGATGTCTGGAACTATGGTAGCCATCTTGTGTTCATGAGAGCAGCTATTGTGACTGAAGATAAAATTTGCCACACCAAACATAGAAGAGTAGAAAGAATGACAATTCCTAGGTTCTTGATAACATCCAAGGTAACCTACCCAGGTCACACACAAGACAAAATCTGTATCCAACTCAAACTCTACACCCACTTTCTCTCCCACGCCACTTACCTCCTCTGTGTTTATTATTAGTCAGTAAATGAAGGCTAATTTCTCCTACTTCTTACTGCTGTTTATTTTTATCCTTTAACCTGTCTTAGCCATAGAACCTAATGGTTAAGAGCAAACTTTGGTGTCAGGTGGACCTGGGTTTAAATCCTGCCTCTGTGTGACCTCAAGCAAGTCATTTAAATCCTTCATGCCTCAGTTTCCTGGAATATAGGACAGGGATAGACAGCAGTTACTATGCTATACATTTGTGATGAGGGCTAGGTGAAACTACATATTTAAAGTACTTATCACAGGTCCTGGCACATTATATTTGCACAGAAAAAAAGCTGATGGTGTTTATGATTATTACTAGTATTGTGCCATGCAATATTACCCTGCCTCTTCAATGGGAAGCCAGCATTCTGAATGTGAAGAGAGCATCTTGTTCCCCATACAGAGTGGTTTCATCAATTGACTTCACATTCATTAGAGCCTCCCCTCCCACACTACAACAGGGAGCTCCTCCTTCCTGCCCAGAGAGCCACCATCAAATGAGCCCAGCTCCCTGGGAGCATCAATCATTCCTTGGTGGAGCCCAGCCTGGGTTTGTATAGACTCGCATTACCCTCACACCCCACACCCCAGGGTCCTGAGAGCTTTGATGCTCATATGGCTGCCTGGCAGGAACGGAAAAATAAAACCCTGCTTGTTCCCGCTATCCACAATAAGACCTTTGGCAATTTAGAGGGAAACAGAGATAAAAGACTGGATTTTTTTTTCTTTCTTTTCATTTCCCCCCCCAAAACAAATGGTGGTTTGTCCTTACTAGCAGCTCCTTCAGAGCCACACCAGCATCAAAGAGCATGAAATCAGCAGAAAGCCAAGGCAGGGTAGTTCTATCCCACCCACTAGGGAATTTGTTTGCGTACAGGACAAACAAAAAGGGAGGGGAAAGGGGGAGATTTGCACAAAGAGCATGTCACTTGGGTGACCTAAGCTCACAGTCCCCACCCCATTCCCAAAAGCTTGTTCTCTTAACATTTACTCTATGCCACTTGAGGCTTGGCACACAGACCAGACAAGGACAATGAGGGACACAGAGAAAGAGAAAGGAAAGCTCAACTTGTCTCGCGGATAAACCTTGAGCTGACTTGACATCTCGTACTCTAGAGGGCTTACTGTGCCAACATCGGGCAGGCCTCTGTGCGTGGAGGATTCGGTGGAACAGCAGGTCTGGTGTCAAGCTCTGCTCTAAGCCCACATGACCATGTGCAAACAGAGGTGGAATGTTAGGGGCCTATTGTTTCTGGAGCATGTCATATGTGTTGGGTCCTGTACCAAGTACCTAATATGTAGCAACCATGGGGTAGGTGGGACCACTTTCTTCATTTACAGATGTAGACACTGAAGTGCAGAGAGATCAAGTCGGTCATCCGAGGTCACATCCTATTGTGGGTGAGCCCTAATCCAGTGGCTGGAGTCCTTGTAAGGAAAGGAGATTTGGATGCAGATACTCAGATGGGGAAGAGGCCATGTAAAGGCAGAGGCAGAAATTGAAGGGATGTTACCACAAGTCCAGGAACATCAAGGATTGCTGGAAACCACCAGAAGCAAGGAACGACCCTCTCCTAGAGCCTCTGAGAGAACATGGCCTGGCCAACATCTTGATTTTGGACATCTTGTCTCCAGAACTGTAAGAATAAATCTGAGCTGTTTGAAGCCACCAGACTGGGACACTTGGCAAAGGCATCTGTCTTTGTGAGTTTACAGAGAAAGGGGAGGAGGGGGACAGGAGTTGCAGGAAGGGGAGAAAAAGACAAGACAATCTCCAGACGAATGATATAAAGACTATCTCTGGCATAGTGGCCTGGGGAACACAATGAGGATGCCAGCCACGAAAGGGAGACAGACAGGCAGAAGTGGATGATAAAGGTAGGGAAATGAAAGGTTTAACAGAAGCGAAGGGGTGAAAAGGAGACAGAGAGCCATAGCGAATTTGATGGGTCAGCTCCTTGAAAGGGAGAAGGGTCAAAGAAGGTTCTGGCGTTCCCTGCCAGTGAGGGAAAGGATTGAGAAAGAGCAGAATGCTGCCACAGTGTCTGCCCCGTGACGATGACCTTGCCCACGCCACTGCCCCAGCCTTCTCACACCTCAACAAGGCTCTTACGTCAGACTCCTCTTCAGTTACTGCACTCAGGGAACATGTAGTTAGCACTCACTAAGTGATTGGCACTGAAGAGGGCATGGGCATGAAGACCAGAGAGCAGCATGAAGGAACAAGAAACTAGGACCCTCATGATTTCTTCAACCTGGATTGCTCTTTGCCCCACTGTCAGCCTAGAAAGAATGTATGTAGAATTCCAGCCCATCCCAACTTGGATGGGGGCATTAGCCCACCTCACTGGGTCCAAAACAACTTCCACACTCCTTTATCATAATGCTTGGACATTATACTGTGTTTCTTTCTTATACACACATATACTGTGTTTCTTACGTACACACACACATACACAGATATCGATAAATAGGGAGATAGACAATTATAGACACATAAATATCTACCTATAGGTATAAATATAAATAAAGATCGATGTAGAGATAGATAGATAGATAGATATTATAAATAGAACAGATCCTCCATTAGAGTGTGAGCTTCTGGAAGGCAGTGTCCTATTTAACTCTATCTAGTCAGTGCTTTTGCAGAGACTGGTGAGCAGTAGTTGGTCAGTAAATATTTGATCAATGAATGTCCGAGGTATTCTAGAACTCAAACAACAAAAAGTCTTAAGTAATAGAAAAATAGGCAAAGGACATAAACACATGATTTACAAAATAAAAGAAATAGGAGTGGTTCTCAAGCACATGAAAAGATGCTTAAGTACAGTCATAATAAAAGGCATACAAGTTAAAGTTACACTGAGAAAGCATGTTTCACCTCTTAGACCAGCAATAGTGTGACAAGATACTGGGTGAGAAGCTGTGGGGACACAAAGCAGGCTCACACCTGCCCATAGAAATGACACAGCCCATAAGGAGGTCCATAGGCAATGTCTACCCTCTGTTTAGCAAGCCCACTTCCAGTGGGTTCCCGTGATATCTCTCAGATAGACCTGCAAACACAAAGCTGGAGCACATACAAGCATTTTTGTAACAGCAAGAGATCTGAAGTCATTCAAGGGCCCTTCTCTAGAGAACTGGGAAAATAAACTGTGGTGCTTCAATAAGAATGAGAAAAATAAAAACTATATTCGTATTTGCTTAATTTGCATTAAGAAACACTGGCTGGAGCTGTAAGAAACTAATGCATGTGGCTACCTAAATGGGAAAAGGGGCAAGGTCAGTAGCTGGAGACAGAGCAAGAGTTCACAATGCATGGCTTCCACATCATGCTGATTCTTGAATTAGGTAAATGTATTGGATGGTCAAAAAATAATAATTTAAGAGTATATGATATTAATAAATAACATGTAATATAATATAACATGTAACATGTGGAAGCAGAGTTCAAAGAGTCCTATGCCTCTCTTGTACAGTACAGGAAGGTTCATGGAGAAGAAATAAAAATGACTCAAAACTCAGAATAGATTAAAATTTCAAAATAGCATAAAATTTACCTATTACCAATTTCCTGGAAAATTAAAGAGGAGATCAATTTTCCTTAAGAGCCAAAAACTGGGGTAGATAAATAATACCAGTCAAAAGCCCTTAAGCCACCTGAAAGAAAAGTCCACTGATCATTGTGGGGAATTTCGCATGTTCAGGACACAAGCTGCCTAACCACTCAATTCTCTCATATCCCCCCTGATAATCTCATTGGAATTCCATTTATTTCCTAATTTCAGCCTCTCTCCCAAACCCAATATCCTCACATGTCTTGAATTTTCTAGACTTTTCCATATCATCCATCAAAACCTTCCAAATCTCTAGCTCAATTTACCTTTCACATTTTTATTTAAAATCCAGAATGACTATCATAAAGATGTAATGCCCTGCCCAACACAGGATACTATAACTCGTTAAACTCCATAACAATCTCACAAGATAAAGACCATCATAATCCGTTTTACTAGCATTTTACAGATGAGAAAAGGAAGCCCAGAGAGGTGGGGTGCTTTGTCCAAGGTTATGTAGAATGGAAAGGTGGGGCCAGAATAGAAACCCTAATAGTCTGACTTCAGAGCCTCCTCACCAGTGTTGCATGCCTAGATGCCCCCACAATAATTTGTGGCCTATAGACCTTTTCTTCTGTTTCATATCCCTCTGTCCATGCATTCATGTGTCCATCAAACATCCATGGCCATTTATAGTATACAAGGCATATATTAGGTGAAGAGGACAGAGATTCCAGAGATGGTGGTCCTTGACTTTAAGAAGCTTATGGTCCAGAGGGAACACATACAGGTAAAAACATAGCTTCATATACAGAAGGTCCTGCAACTGAGCCTAGGAGAGGCCCCCCACTCCTACCCCCAATCCCAATCCACTTCTATATGTCTTATGTTTTGCCTCCCCTGCTCAGGAAGTCTTCGTTTAGGGCCCTGTATCTATCACAACTGGAAAATCAACTCCATCAGGGTTCTTCCAGGTAAAGTAAAGGGGTCTAAACAGACTTACATGCTAACAACTATCAGATTAGGTCTTGGGGTCTGCTTTCCTATAGCCTACAGTTTTATGAATGTCATTTCATGTTGAAACAAGAACAATAGTATTGTGTCTTTTTGCTTTTAGCCACAAGAATCAGGTTGAAAACAAAAGAGAAAGAAGACTTAATCTGATAATATTTCTCACAGTGTAATTCAGAGGACCAAGTCTTACCTGTTGCCCTTAAATGTCTTCTTCCTTATCAGAGTCCAAAGTACTCACATTCCTAGCATCATTGTGCTAAGTTGAAAAAGGACAGCCTACTTACTAAACTTGCAGTTTTCCCTGTGATCTGCTCAGGCTCCACAGGGCAAAAGTGACTGCTCAAGTTCCATTCCCCAAATAAAACACCAAAACTAGTCACACAGACCTGGGTTCAAAGCCAGACTCTGCAACTTACCAAGAAATGATCAGCATCCATTTCCTCATCTGGAGAATGGGATTAATAATGAGGATTTGGTAAGATAATACATGCAAAGGCTCCAGCCTCAGGCATGACACAAATTCAAAGCCTTCTTGGGACAGTCTTTTAAGCAGAGTCATTGCCAACTTCCACATGCAAGCCTCTCAAGATCAGGTCATGAGCATTAACCCTGGCTCTCTCTGCCCAAGGTAACTGTACTTATTTCTGCAGCCACAGTTTGGCCTCTAGAGCTGCAGAAGACAAGGAGAACAGGTTCTAGGGCCTGAGAAGAGAAGGGCTCGAAGGAGATAGGGACTACCCAAGCTTGCAGTCACAAAGGCTGTGGTTAGGGTTACATTCTAGACTGGGGATGCAGAGGAAGCAGAGAAAAACCTGGGCGAAGGGAAGTGCTAGAGACTGGAGACAACCTAGTGTCCTCAGAGACCAACCAAGCCCATAGTTCAACACCACCAAAGCAATACCATTGGAAACGTTACTTTGGAAAGAAATCACTATTTCCCAAAAAGTACCCAGGAAGTCACCTTGAGGGGAAGAAAAGTCTGAACTTTATTGAACTGACCTATACTTTGGTACGGCTTGATATCGTTTTCAGTTTTACATACTTAGAGGCAAGGTGAGGGTAAGGAATGGAAGATAGGCACCCAGGGTGCCTGGGGGCCTCAGTCAGTTAAGTGTCTGACTTTGGCTCAGGTCATGATCTCACGGTTCATGAGTTTGAGCCCCACATTGGGCTCTTACTCTCAGTGCAGAATCTGCTTTGAATCCTTTGTCTCCGTCTCTTTCTGGCCTTTCCCCTGTCCCACTTCCCTCTCTCTCTCAAAAATAAAATAAACATTAAAAACAAAAACAAAAAACAAAAAAGGAAGAAGACAGGCACCATATTCTTCCCCATGCTATTCTGACCTGGCCCATTAAATACCAAAAAAACTTCATCTTATGTCTGTTTTGAGGGTCAGAAAACCAAATGCCTACAGAGGTCAACCAGATCAGAGATAAGAGTGCCCGTACCAGGTAAGGAAACTGGAACATAAATGCCCTAGTCAACTATTGACAGAGAGAAGCAGAGTCAGTGTAACTAGATCTATTTTTTAAAAATATAGAGAAAGAGAGATTTCTTTTAAGGAACTGGCTCACAATTAGAGGCTGGCAGGGCAAAAAGTCAGGTAATAGTTGATGTTACCATCTTGAGTCTGAATTCAGCAGGGCCAGAATGACCTGTTGATGATTATGATGTAAACATACTGCTAATGTTGCTCAATCACCTTTAGACATACACAATAATGACAGGAGATTTGCTTTTCCTACAGGTGGGAGTGGATTTACCTTCCTCTTGTATGTTTCCATTATTGCTCATTCATGAGGTCATGTAAGTATTTATGTCTTCCTTCACTAATAGACTAGGGTATTTTTTCAAAGTATTCTGGATTCCTGTTAAATAGACTCCTGACACTCCTTATCTACTAACTCAGGAAATCCATGCTTTTAAGAAGTACTTTCAGAGTGCCTGGTGGGGTTGAGGTGGTTAAGCATTTGACTCTTGATTTTAGCTCAGGTCATGATCTCAAGGTGGTGAGATCCAGCCCCACCTCAGGCTCCACCCTGGGTGTGGAGCCTGCATAAGATTCCCTCTCTCCCTCTTCCTCTGCCTCTCCCCGGCTTACACGTGCACTCTCAAATAAAACAAAAAACAAAAACACAAGCATTCTTTTTTTCTTGTGCATGCTAACATTTAAAATCCACTGGACAGAACTGTTTTCTCATTTTGTCCTTCAGACAAAGTCCCTAACATCTAGTGGGAGCTTAACAAATGTTGTTGAACAAATTAATAAGTAGTGTCACTAGTTTATCCCTAGGTTCTCTTGTGATGTTTGTAAAAGTCATGATGCTAAACTTTTAATCTTGATCTCTTTGTTTTAGGTGATGACCAACTATTATATAACCATCTATGTATGTGTCTCTTAACCCCACTAGACTGGAAATTTTCTTTGCATTTTTGCCACTCTTGTATTGATAGAGCCTAGCCCCGTTACTGGAATAAATTAGATGCTGAGCAAATATTTTTTGAGTGAACAGACAGATTGATGAGTGAACAAACAAATAAACCTACCTTAACATACACCACCCACTGTCTTATTAGGCTGTGAAAATGTTTTACTTGCTGGCCCCTGAATTTCTCATCCTATCTTTCAGTAATTCATAGTTGCTACAGGTTTTAAGAAGGCACCTATAACTTTCACTTGCCATAGATTAAAGCATAGCTAAGAGTCTATAACATGTAATTTCTGTAGCATTAACTGTATCTCTTTTATCACTTTCAGAAAAATATATATCATGATACCTATAATTCAGAGGTATGGTATTTTGGAGATGACCTTGAATCCTCTTCAAAAGATAAACAAAACTATTCATAAGCTTGATGGCTTAAACTATTACTGTTATTTTGATAAATGTTTCATGATACTTCAAAATCAATGCAGACCCAATACGTGTCAAGACATTCAGGTTAAGTATAACTGCTATAAATCACTTGACCCAAATCAGGTGGTAAAGATTCCTGTTTCCAGAATGACTAAAATTAGAAAGATTGACAATAACAAGTGTTGATGAAGATGTGGAGCAACCCCAAGTGTCATAAGTTGCTGGTGGGAAACTGGTATTTACCCAAAAGGAATAAAAACACTTGTTAACAAAAAGACTTGTACAAGAATGTTTATAGCATATCTATTCTTAATAGACCCAAACTGGAAGTGACAGGCCCAAATGTCCATCAGCAAGATAAAGGAAAAAGTATAATATCTTCACATAATGGGATAATTCTTGGCAATAAAAAGAAACAAACTGATAAACTGTCCAACAACATGGACACATCTCAAAGTCATGATCTCAAATGAAACAATAGTATATTCTATAGAATATTTAGAAAAGGCAGAACTAATCTGTAATGGTAGAAATCAGAAGCATGATTACCTCTGCAAAGAGCAGGTATTGACTGGAAAAGGACACAAAGGAACTTTCCACGTGAGAGAAATGTTCTATATCTTAATTTGACAAGTTACATTTGTCAAAACACCTGAATTATTTATTTAAGATCTGTACACTTTTCTGCATGTAAAATATATCTCATTTTAAAAATTTATACTTCTACATGGGCCAGAAATATCAAAGCATGATCGATCTTTTATACATCATGGATTGTTGGGTCCATTTTTCAATAATCTAAGACTTTAAACAGTCTATGATTCCAGTAGAGGTGTTCCCCCATCTTAACACAATGACTGTGTTTCATTCTACAAAGGTATTACAGGACAGTCAAATACCATCCCAATATATAATTTACATGAGTGCCTGGCACTCTTGTGGCTCTTTATATTCATTAGTTGATTTAAATCTCACTTTTTAAAAATGTGCAGTGTGAATATTTAACAGACAAGAATCAAGGTCCACATAGGTTTAGTTTCTTGCCCAAGTTCACACAGCTGAGTGATGTCACCAGGACTCAAACCCAGATCCTAAGCCCACACTGTTTCCTCTCCAATAAACAACACACACACACACACACACACACACATGCCTGAATCACAATTCATAGATCTTTCCATTCTTTTATTATGAATCTGTGATAACAGTTCTTCCTGTGAAATTTTAAAATAAATAAATGAAGCCTTTATAAAGCACTCTAAAGCCCATGGAAAGTTTTAAATCATTGCCTGATTTGTCCCGCCTGGCTCTCATTCTCAAATCTGTGTTTGCTTTGGAATCTAAGGACTGGAATAATCTACGGAGACTAAATGAAAGAAGCCACAGAGCATTTGTTGGCAAAAGGGCAAAGGGGGTGTTTCCTTCCCTTTGTTTAAGTGTTAAAACAAAACTGTCCATTATTCTACACATTGCATTATTGTTAGCATCTTCAGAAGGGAAGCAGACACATTGATTGCATTTCAAATAAAAAATTGAAAGCAATTAGCAGAGGGAAGAGAGAAATGAGCTTTACTGTCTACAACCACTGTTTGCTCTTTCAGGCCATGGTCCTTAGGATATGACTTTTTTATTGAATTTTTCACTCTCATTAGTGGTTTATAACAGTGAATTTCTAAGTACCCAAGTCCAAACCAAAGTCAAGATTATTTAATTCTGAACTGTTAGAAATCTCTCAGAACCAATCCAAACTGCCAGAAAAAAATTCACATGACCCTCATGTATATAGTGAGATTAATATCCCACAGAAATGCCTCATCAACATAATGTCAAAGTAATTCACTTAAACTTTTTCCTGGCAAAACATAAAACTTCTATAACAGAGAATAATATTGCATAGGTACCAAGGCTAAAACAAGCTGAAGAGCTTCAAATCAGAGGACCAACTGATTAACTGACGAGGAAAAAGGAAAATGTATCACTATTGGAAAAGCAGATTTTTAGTCCAATATACTTCCGCTACTGAAAACCATTGTGTATCATCCATAGAAAGCCTTCATATAGTCAGTCAAAAAAAATTAGAAACTGGTTTCTAACCTGGTTTTAAATCCTAATCCTATTTTCCATGAAAAATAGTTTGCACTTTAAAGAGCTGAGGATGATAATTCCTTTGGAAAAAATTTAATTCTGTGGCTGGCTTACTATTATAGATACAAACATCTTAGCTGTTGGCTACAGCTGAAAAATCATATTCCTCTCTTTGGCTTATGGAGCAAGGAAATAATAACAAAAGCATCTCCCCTGATCTCAAAGTCTTCTGAGTTCCAACTAGCAATGAATATGATTCCTAGCACTGTAAATAGTCTTATAAACCTTTCCTTTCCTAATAAACTTAACCTCCCCATTTTCTTAAATATTAGCAATAAAAGTATCATATGTAAATGTCCTTAAGAGTTGGAAAGACTGGGGCACCTGGGTGGCTCAGTTGGTTGAGCATCCAACTCTTGATCTTAACTCAAGTCTTGACCTCAGGGTTATGAATTTGAGCTCCACCTTGGGCTCTGAACTGGGCATGAGTCTCAAAAAAAAAACAAAAAAAAATTTGGGCAAGTTTGTCATAAGATTCAAAATACTTAGTCTCTGTGGACAGTTGGCTTTTCATATGGTTAAATGTAGTGAAACAATTCCGGGAGTGCACAGGGAATAAAGAGGATAGACTCGGAATAATAGTGAAAAGGCAGAATAAAGAAAATATGTTAGGTTTTAAAGTGTGTGATTTTTGTTATGCAGACAGTTTCAGATGGAGTATTTCAAGCCAAAGTGTTTTTTGACTTTGGTTTTCCTTAGGGAAGCATGCACAGCCGCAAAGGATAATGGAAAAGGCTGGTGGGGATTTGAATACAGAAGGTTTCAATCCCAGTTCCATTTTTCCTAACCCAGAAATTGGGCAATAAAAACAAATTGATAATAATAATGGCTAACAGTTATTGAAGCTTAAAGTGAATCAGATCCTGGTCAAAGTGTTTTATGTGTATTAAGTTATTTAATTCTATGAGGTAGTGAAGTGTTTAAAACCCTCCCATTTACTCACTACATAATCCTGGACAGATTCCTCTTCTGCAGAATCATCATGCAATCGCATCTACCTCTTCAGCTATTTATGAGAATTAATGAGCTAATACTAAAGTTAAGCACATAAAACAGTGTTTGTTTGGCACAAGGCAGACACTCAACTAACAATTGCTATTGTTACTACTATTTTACATTTAGGAAACTGAGACAAAGTCTATTTGCTAAAGAAATGGTAATTAACATCTAACTAATGAACTTGTAATATTTGGCTTTTGTAAATATTTCATACATGGCAGCTATTTTTCATCCTATAATAAACTGAGGTCACTGTGAAAACAACTCTCTGTTATTCAAAATTGTGCTTTCCCTAAACTGAACACAAAGAGCTCCAAGTATAGATTTCTACTACAAAATGTTTAACTAGCTGTCAATTATTATCTGACCCTTCCTCTTGCATTCCTGATTATATCCAAAGCACATCAATAAATTATGCAGACTGAATGGAGACCTACATTCTGCAATAACTATTATACTAAGGCACCTTTCCAATAACAATCAATTTACTGATCTGTAAAATGGGCAACCCAAAGTGACACTCCTCCCCCCACAGCAGGGTACTTTCAAGGTGAATCCTCCAGTCTCCAGATCCTGGCCTACTGGCTAGGCAGCCTCAGGAGCCACTGAGAAGAACACAGCCATTTCTTTTAGACAA